CAGCTTATGATCTAATTCGAATCTGTGGTTAGTTGTATTTGATTTGTCATTTGTTATACTATAAATTTATCGAGTCAGATTCTCTCTAAATTTTTGGTTCATTTTTTCGAGCTTCCTGCGGGATGTGATAAGGACTCCAGGGAAGCGTATTAATAGTTTCAAACTGTAGAAAACAAAATGTTTATCGTCGTGCGCACTTTTATTTGTATATCGTGTATAGCTGATGATGACGAGATCTAATGTTGGTTTTTCAAGATCACGTTGTCTCGAAGACAAGTGATATAGTTGACATAGGTAACGATGACTTTTAACACAGAACTCTTGCCACCATTGATCTTTTTAATATTAGTTACGTTCTGAGTTTTTAAGCTGTATATCTTACTGTGAAGCCTTACAAATTGGAACATTGAAACCTCTGCGTTCTCTCATCTTTTATCTTTCCAACTACCTTTTTATTAGCTCTCGAAATGTTGAATCAATTTGGCTCAGGATAATCCGAAGCGTGTAACTCTTCAATATCTAGACGCATAATGTTATAGATTTTTGTATTAGTTTTCTTATACAGAAAACTCCCTGTATCAGTGTACAAAAGCTTCGAACGCTCCACGGGACTCTGCATGTATCTACAATGAAAACAGTACATGAGAGTTTTAGATAAGTCCAAGGTCGCAAGTTCAATGTATGTAGGCTATTTCACTGCAAATCCTGCTTGAAAAAGCTGCTCAGCTATCAGATTTTCATCAAATTTATAAATACTGTGATAAGTTGGTCTGGTAATGAATAGTTCTGCACCAAAACTTATTTTTCATTTGTTACAAATTTTACATTAACACAGCATTATTAAAAAGCTTAACCCATTAACGCGCAAAGCGCATTTTTGTGCACACAATTTCAAGCACCCGACTCATACAGAAAAAGACGGTTTCTTTTTCCCAAAATACCACCTAGGAGGTTTTCGAGGGTGCTCTTTCAGAATCTGGCACCAGTTTTATGTTAAATTATCAACAACCCTACTTATTTTGCGTTTTAATAAAAAAAAGACCCATTTTTTCCGGATTTTTTAAAATTTTTTCTCGATTATTTTCCTGCATTCAAATCAATATTCTATCAACAGAAATCGCAGTCCCGATGTTTGAGCTTTCAGAAACCGACCGGGGAAATTTTTTTTTCTTCCAGCATTTTTACAAAATGGCGGTTTTTTATGGCAGTGCTCTATGAAAGTTTATATTTTTTTTACTCCAAAAGTATCAACTTTATCAAAAAAGTTAGTACTATAAAAAATACTTCAAATTATTCAAAGAATACATGTGAATTTTTTCAGAGCTAATTAAAAAAATTTTGGCTTTTTTTATTTTAACCATATTTTGAAAAATAAAAAATTTACGTAAAAATTCTGAAAAAATTCCAGCGAATTAACTTATGACAAAGAACTGAGAAAAATAATGTTTTCTCGTTTTTTCATAATCCTAATATAAGTTTTTATCACTAAAACTGTAATTTTAAACATTTTTTATTATAATTTTTTTAAATATTTTTTAATTTTTTTAAAATTTTATATTTCAATTTTCTTTGTTTTTTTTATTTTTTTTTCGCAATAATACTATATGTATTACTTTTTGATAAGAACAGATTCAAAACAATTTTTGCAGAAATATAATTTGCACTCTTTGCAAATCTTTCTGGTCCTTAGAAAGCAACTTTGATTAGAGCAATTCTTTTGATGGGGACTTTGTTCTGTAATGTGAAGATTCTTTTTGAAGATTTTTCGCTCAGATAACACTTAGCAACAGCTAAAATAAGATCCTTTGTTCCAATTTTTTCACTTTTATTTTCAATTGCAGTATTCAATAAAAATGTAGCATTTGTAATTGTCATTTGGATGCATCTAAGAAAAATTACCCAAGTCAACTTTTTTGATCTGAAAACTTTATTACAATGTTGGTCGTGAATATCTATTCCACCCATATGACTATTGTATGCACAAAACGCTCTTGGTGAATCAAGTTTTATTTTATTTTCTGAGTTTTATTGTACCTTTCAATAGAACCAGTGGGATTTACACTAGCTGCAGTAGACAATACTGAGACTGGCTTAGAATCCATCACTGTGATATAATTGATACCGCTGTTCTTATCGTGCTTTACTTCATAATTTCCACGTTCATCTTTCTTTTTATCTATGTTGTGCTTTGCAGGTACTCTGTCCTGTCTAACTGTTCCAGTACATCGAAATCCTAGTTTTCTTAAATGAACCAAAAGATTTGCAGAACATAATAAGTTGTCAAAATATAAATGGTATTTTTGCATATTACGTGGTGTAGTTCGAGACAAAAACTATTCCAATGTTTGAATTACGACACGATTATCAAGAGAAATTTTAGGTAAAATATTGCTTTTGCCATTTTTCCACAGTATATATATCAAAATCGAATAAAATTCCGTAAGCGCTAGCAAGACCCACATTTTTATTCCAAATCTTTGGTTTTGATTTGATGAATTGTTTCAAAGAACATCACCCATAATATTTTATCATCATTTCATCTATTGATAACGCTGTAGAGAAAATCCCAAATTGCATAATATTTTCCCTCATAATATTTATAAAAGCTCTGACCCGCCAAACTTTGTCTTCTTTATTTTCATCATCGGGATGATGGAGTTTTAATTTAGATTTGATCATTTCAAACTGTTTGATGCCCATACATGGTGCTACTATATCTGATCTCAAATACTCATCTTTTGACCAATAATCTCCTTGAGATAACTTCTTATCGAAGCAACTGAAAATTATGATTCCAATAAATTTATCCAAGTCTTCCAAAAAAAGTACATAGCCATTTGCTTTTGTGCAATCAATGATATGTTTTTTAATTTCAAGTGAAAAAGAAACTCAAAAATTTCTGTCAAAGAACTATTCAAAATTTTTTTAGGATCACACTCTTTTAATAATATTTCATTTTTTAAACTTTCATTGTACTCAATTTCGCCTTCAACCCAGTCATAGATGTGATTTTTCTCTAACTTTGTTTGAGACTTAATGTAGGATTCTATAACTGTTCTAAAAGTTTCCAAAGAGCTAAGCTCTATTGTTTTCGCAGAATCGCTTTCATCATTACCTCCAGAATCGCTATGCGACTGAGTAGAATCGTCAGAATCTCCAGATTCTTCGGTGTCTGATATTACAGAGACATCGTAATATTCATCACATTCTGTAACCTGTACTTCAGGTTGGCGACGTTTTTTTTTTACATTACCACTTTTCCTTTTAGATATTGTAATTTTCTTCAGCTACACCTTTCAAATTAATCAAAAACTAAAAAGTAAAATATTGGACAATTCTTTTCAGTCCGATAATATTAGTTATAATCCATCAATATATTTACCTCTCCGCAATCTACTCCAAAAAATGCCTAATAATATGAATGACTTACTGAGATTTTTCTTTACATTACAAGCATCCTTTATGTATTTTAACAAAAGCCAGTTGGTATTTTTCAAGCTGATATAATGAAACCATCAGATATTTTGGAAAAGTGATTTCGAACAACGTGTATGAAAGTATGGAAAAAATTTCAGAATTTTTTTTATTGAAAAAAATGAATAGAACAGAACAAATTTATTCTACAAAATATGCTTAAAATTAGTCAGAAAACTCAGGATTTTTTTCAGAATTTTTACGTAAATTTTTTATTTTTCAAAATATGGTCAAGATGAGTTCTGCCATAAAAAACCGCCATTTTGTAAAAATGCTGGAAGAAAAAAAAATTTCCCCGCGATTTCTGTTGGTAGAATATTGATTTGAATGCCGCAACAGGAAAATAATCGAGAAAAAATAAAAAAAAAAATCTGGAAAAAATGGGTCTTATTTTTATTAAAACGCAAAATAAATAGGGTTGTTGACAATTTAACATAAAACTGATAACAGATTCTGAAAGAGCACACTCGAAAACCTCCTAGGTGGTATTGTGGGAAAAAGAAACCGTCTTTTTCTGTATGAGTCGGGTGCTTGAAATTGTGTGCACAAAAATGCGCTTTGCGCGTTAATGGGATAAATAGCATGTTTTCACAATTCACTATTCAAATCATTGTATTTCTTGAGCCATGGGCTCTGATTAAATTTCAGAGCACGCTGAATTTTCTTTAGTCGCAAGCATTCCTCACCGCTTATTTAAGCCCTCTATGATGGATTATATAACGCTCTTTATCATGAAGAGTTGTCATAAATTACTTTTGTTTGGATTCCGGAGCAGATTTATGTTCTGGACAATATGGCAGATCCTTACGTACATCGTGAATTTCTACGGGATACACTAAATCTGCTTCGAGTATATACCCAACGGATAAATCATCAACAATATCAAAGTCTGAATCAATTTTACATCAGTCGAAACCTTCCTGTGAAAGAATCTCTGTCATGTTCCATCCATATAGATAATTAACAATATAATACATCAAATGGTAGATTAAATAATAATAAACGCTTTTCGCAGAATTTGATATGATTTCTACTAAATTTAATGTAAATATAAGAACGTCGATATGTAAATATATGGAAAGTTTTATATTTTTTCTCCTCGGTTTAATAAAAAATTGCATTTGAAACGAAAAAAATGATTTTGCACTTTTTGAAATGCTTATAAAGAGACAAATAAGTAGATTATTCAATTTAGAACTTCTTGGTTATCTAAAATATTTATTATTGTCTAAAAAGCATATATTTTGTAACGTTTTTTAAAAGTATAAATATCTTCTGAAGCATTTTTCCATCTGAAACATTAGTTAATACTTCCAGCAGGATTTCCCTATTTTAATGTTATGTTATTTGATTTTTCTTGAAAGTATAATGGTATAGAATACAAAAATTATATCCATCCATTTTATGAATTGTAGCTTTCAATCTCGCTCCTCACTTTTGTAATCTAAGACTGACATAATTGTTCTACATAAAACACATTCATATTTTTCCTATCAAAAATAGTATTAAAATATATATTACTTTACCTAAACCCCAAATCCTTCCACCACGGAATTCACCCTCGAACTTCATGCCGTCAGATCTCCAAAATACTCCATGACCATGAAACCATCCTTGCATAAATTCTCCTTCGTACCTATTTATATATAAATGATTATTTCGATATTACTCTGAATGAAGCTTTAAAATAATTTATTGTGCCAACATCAACATGTTTACGTATGATATACACATATAGAATGACGTCATGCCATTCTCAAGTCCGAAGCCCTACCATTGGAAAGGTAGACAAGAAAGAAAGAAAAAGTGCTAATCTTGTAACATAATTAAGCAACATATGCACTGAATATTAGTCCAGGATCTCAGCTAAGCTTACAATAGGGAGAGCTTGAATCTTATGCGCGTTTTCATCAGAAAACATAAATAATAGGTTCTTAACGAGACACATGACATCTTACAATGAAGGATGGAAGGAAAAACAAAAAACTGCCCTAGATAGGTACAGTCATATTGGGTATCATTCCGTTGATTCCAGTCTAGTTAACGAACGATAATATGTTCGACGCTGACTATGTAGAATATAGGAGGGTGCTAATTACATAGGAATAGCACTATTGATAGTTTGATAAAATATTTCGTCACGCCGATTAATATTACTGCTAGTTCAATGATGTGAATAAAGGGAGATGGCAGACAAACACCTGTATTAGATCCTGTCACAACAAGTTCATCCTAGTTGGGGACGTCTACGTTGGTGCCGTGAAGTAAAATATCATAAAATGAGAGAATCAACTAGTTGCCCCTGGATGCCCATGAATAAAGGATACTAGTGCTAGGGGGGGTTGTTACCAATGATACGAATATCTACAACAAGGTAAAAGATAAAGAGGGTGAAGAAAAAACGATAAAACAAACAAAGGAGAATATAAGAAAAACGCGTAGCCCTCTGTCTTATCCATGACAGTAAGGCACGCAAAGGAAACATCGTCAAGGACAAAAGTTTATCAATCAAATATAAGCTCTATATTTATCATTCAACCACCGAGACTTAATAATACAACAAAAATGATATCCCACTTTTATTCCAAGGCGAAAATATTACTATACCAGCAGGAAAATAATAACACAGCCCCACAAAAAAAAATTTAAGTACCAAAAACTAGACCAAGATGTTTTCGTGGTCACTGATTCCGAATCCGAAGTCGGTTTAATCTGATCAGCTCAGGTTAAAGACCATTTTAGGGTCAAATCCACAGAATTCATTAAAACAAACTTGATATCGTGGATCTATAGAATTTTCGGAGCGCTGAATCCATATGCGAAGTCAGCTTAATCTTATCAGGTTATATTCAAAGTCATTTCATGGTCAAATACTCAAAATTTATTAAATATAACTTGAAATAAGGGGTCTATAGGTTTTACGAATAGTTAATTTCATATTTGGAGTTGGTTTGACTATTATATCAGTTTTGAGTTAATTTTAATGTCTCCGGTATAAATAGATAAACATAGCTGGACAAGTGCTCATATAAGCTATGACAACGGACGAAGTATATTTTCACACGTTAACATAGGCATGTACGGATAAAGTAAAAATACAGAATCTTATGAGTGATGACAGAAACGAAAAATATTATAATATATATTATAGTCAGCTGTATTTCAAGTGGTAAAGAGGATTTGTACCTTAATAAATTGTAAGAATTCGCTTCAAACTTATTACTCTTTTTTATGATATCGAACAACTTTATTATATTGATCTACAAAGTGGATTTCTCTTCCATTTTCTTTCGTATTCTGGTAGTAAATCTTTTTTCGAGGACTCGCAGTAATCGGCTGAATATTGATGTCCCATCTTTCTTCATATCTACGCTCCATTTCCTTGATGTTCTGATGAAATCTCTCTTCTTGTTCATCGCTGTAATAAACTAAATTGTCCACGTGTAAATGTAAAAAGTATAGCTTCAGGTTCATAAAGCAGATTTGGTTCTTATAGCTTTTTACCGAATTCGGCACTTTTTTTTTAGTTTCGACTCTTACGTTTCCCAGAAAGATTTTAGCTACGTCCTGGGAATACAACCACGATGTTTTTTATTCATTTTTGTAACAAAACTATCATCATTTATCATCCTATAAATCTGATGTCCATTAAGAATCTCTTAATTTAGCAAAAGTATTTCGTAAGTTCCGATTATTGACCTAGTAGTATAGTGAGAATTTTAAGATCCCCATAAATTTGCCATTGATGTTCATCATACTTGATTCTGTCTAAGATTACCTTCATGTTACAGTATTCTTTCCTAGATCCAGGAGCTGGAGCATGATTTTTACCTAAACTAATATGAGGTTAGTCAGCTCTTCGGGTGAAAGAGGCGATCAGCCATTAATAGTAGTTCTCGCTTTGTACTTGGTGGATTTTGGTCTTTGCCATGTAAATAGAAACAGAAGATATTAAGGACGGGTTTCCATTTCAACACAAGGGTGGAAACGATGTTAATGTCCAATAATCCACATAAGAGCATTGGAGAATGGGCAGTCCATTTGTCCAATTGCATCTTAGCTAACTGCAGAATTTCGATGAGCTAATTGTGGACGCTCAAAACAAATTTCAGTGAATCAGATCCTGTGAGAGCGTCATCCATCTAAATGTGTCTTGCTAGCACTCTAAATCCAAATGAAAATCGCTTTCGCTTATCCATGGCTAGTTGTTGTAACGTTTTGATAGCTTGGAACGGGACACAAGCAGTACCGTAAGTGACGATGGTGAAGCGATAACATCTGATGGCCTTCTCTGGAGTGTCTCGCCTCAGGATGCATAGCCAGTCGGAGTTTCCTGGATAAATGTTGAACTGTCGGAACATTTTGTCGATGTCAGCAGAGAAAACGAAGTAGTATAGACGCTAGCAAGTCTGGATAATGGAGATAATTGCCTGTAGTTTTGCACATGCATATAGGTAATCTTTTAGAGAGATTCCGTTGACTACGAATTGTAACGCAATGAAGACCACTTGGATTATTCTGCTGTTGTCACTCTTGAAGACTGCATAATGAGTGATATAGTAGCAGACGGATGAGTCTACATCGGAGTCAAAGATTATCTCCATGTGATGTAGGGTCTCGTCCTCCCTCATGAACGTAGCGTATGCTTGACGCTGTTTTGGGTTTCGGGTGAAACTTCTCGCCGTCCAGCAGTCGTGATTGTACCACACTTTAAGATCCAGGAAGATGTAGATGTTAGGAGAATGGTAGATACAGCAGGTATCATCCAGACTCGTCTCTTCGATGCGTCTTTTGAAAATGATTCTCGCACTTCTGCTCCTTGGTTAACAGATGAGACTCAGCCGTGATGTCCTCCAGTTCCCTGAAACGACGTAGCTCATCTGATAGATTCTAACAGGAGGTACTTACGGTGTGGCAACGAGCTACGTGATGATTCGTGACTGGATTGTCTGTCAGAGCGGGGCTACTTATTATTCAGCCTAGAACCGGCCTCTGGAGCGTTGGCTCATTGGATCTTCCCTTGTACATTCCGTTTAAGAGCAGATCACAGTACACATTCATTACGAGAAAACACTTAATAAGAGCAACAATCCGGAAGTTGGAGTTTATTAATACCAATCCCCTTATGCGGGATCAGTTACCTACTTTCACGACTGGGCGGTTAAATGTAGCTTGAAGTCAGGCATAAAAGATGACCTCAAAATAAGATCTACTTCCCCAGAAGACCGGCGTGAGTTAACTCCACCAACTCCACTAATGCAGGCACAGGAAAGTTGCATGCGCACCCGTAAAACAATTACCTGCCGTTCCGAAACGAAGGAGGCTTCCGATCCTGCATTCGACAAGATTCTTACCTGGAGAATGTTTCCATTCTCCTGCTGTAGAGTCACTAGAGAGATCACGAGTAGTATTGCGCATGAACGACTCGCTTGAGAGTGGTATGACGACATCTTGGATGGAAGGAGTGGCGCGGCAGCGAGTCCCTGCACTGATAGAAGAATCCTGATTCAGGAGGACGTGATGTGGACGGTCACACTGAACAGCTCTGCAGCGGTTTTGATAGGTACAAATCTTCGTTCCATGTCCTGGACGAAGAAAATTGAAGTAGACACCTGTCTGCTTAATGAACTTTTAACATTAACAAAATAATTTACTGACAATACTGTCAACTATATTTTTATTGTAAAATAAGTTACGACGCTTCGTCTACATAGTGAGTAGAGCTTTTCAAGTCACTAAAAATGTACACATATACAATACATATAAATAATGCTATAAAATATTATAATAAAGATATCACTCACTCAAATCAATAATGGAAAATAAACGCAGATACAAAAATTGTGGTGAAAAACCATATCAAAGCCAATGTGACACTTGTATTCTATCGTAAAAATATAGCTACTAATACTCATTAAACCAAAAGTCAAACTAACATTGCCTTCCAAAGTCCAACTCACAATGATCAAACAAATAGAAATATGAATATATAAAGCTACACACACAATGACAAACCTTCGGAAAGAGAGAGAAAATAGTACTCAATCCAAACAAACAGTATTTTCATACAACAACTCTATAATAGCTCAATATAATTTTTAAATATAGCTTTTAAATTTTGTGTATCTTGAATTTTATTGACATTATTAAACTTTGTAATAAAAAGCATTTCAGATATAAGACGTTTAAAATAAATGTTTTCATAATCTAAAATTTTAATATTATTTAAATCAAAATTGAAATTATGATCTGTCTCTCTCATGTATAAAACAAGTGCTGAACGAATTCTATTATGTTTACAATCTGAAATTTGTTCCTTAATTCTTGTGTGCAACCTACGGCCTGATTGTCCCGTGTAACTCACATCACAGTTTTCACAGTCAATCTTGTAAACAATACATGATTTGTTAAACTTTGGAATAGGATCTTTGCCTAAATTATTAAATATATTCAACTTATTACAACATTTGAAAATCACACTGAGATTGTATTTGTTTGCTATCCTCTCAAATAATTTTTCAGAGTTTTTTAGAAAGCGCAAAACAATTAAATCACGTTTTGCAATTACCGAGTTGCTACTATTTAAATTTTGAGATATATCAGTAAAAATCTTACTCATTCTAATAGTTACATATT